ACCTTTCTTTTAAATAATACTCTATAAAAAAATATAAAACTTTTTGATATAATAAGTAGAAGTCGCAAAATTAACCACTCCGTTGCTTCATGAAACTTTAGTTACAAAGACATTTTCTTTGTCAAACCTAAAACTCCACTTTATACCTCATAATAAAAATATATCATAATCTTTTTCAAAGACGGCGACTTATAACCGTTACAGAATAATACTTTATGAAGATTATTATAAGAAAACCTCGTAAAAAGGACCCTTGGGTAATAAAGAAGTAATTTTTACCATGGTTACCGTTAACCCCATCGTTTATTTTTATGTAAACGGTCCTGCAAGGCACAAAGCCATTTGAACTTTTTTGATGTAACCCTGTATCGTTACCCGTATTCGGTGGAACGGGGGTAATTTCTTAATTAGATATTTGATGGGGCTTCCCTATGAAGGCAAAAGAAAAAAATACCAGTAAAATTGTTTGTATTTTTTTCTCAACATTATCCCTTTAAGTATGATATGTAGTAGGATATCTACGAGTGCAATAGGTTATTTTAATATGTTTCTTACTAAGTGGTTTCTTATTTTCTTGTGTGTAATATGAGGTATACAACTTCTAAATACTATTTACTAGCGATCCCGTGTTACCCCCTTATGGGTTGAATTTAGCAAAATCTCGTCTTAGTGAGCACCTACGTTCTAAAAGGAACCCCCATGCAAAATTTGAGACTCCTAGCACTTGTAGTTTCTGAGATTTCGTGATGAGTGAGTGAGTCAGTCACTCAATCAGTCAGTGACCTTTCGCTTTTATAAATATAGATTAATGCAAATAAAAAATCTACTAAATAAACGTTAGTAATTGTTGTAGAAAGCTTTCAAGATACAAAAATTAAAATTTTAGATATTATAGACCTTTTAACAAAGTTACATTTATGATACTATTAGGCCTTTTCATTTAAACTCTAAAACAGCCTCAGAGGCCTTACATTCATGATGAATTCCCAGCATTTGTTAGGGAATTCTTTGGGAAAAGCCTCGTCTATTACAACATACAAATTTGAACCCTCTCCCAATGGTGTAGAGTCCGATATTGTATGAGAACTTCTTGGTAGACTTAACGTTATTTAAGGCAAGTTTACTTACCTGCTTGCTTCATTTAACTTATTTCTTTTGTTCTCATAAATAGCCGTTTCCTCAGTCGTTTCAATTTAATTAGAGGGGAATTTATTGTAAGGTATTTGTTCGTTGCGGAAAACATTCGGAAGTTTGATCGAAGGTTTTAGTAGGCCGCAGACCACCGACTTTTAGTTGGCCGATAGTTGGGCCCGATTTTAAATTGTATGAATAATATCGGCCAAATCGAATCGGCGTAGTGTGCGCACTCCCATACATGCCCATTGCCCATACTGATCAACTGCCCGACTAAACTATCGGCCGACAAAAAATCAACGGTGTGCGCCTACTCTAAAAGTCGCTGGACGGCTGCGCCTAGGCTTAATTTTTTGCCGTTGGGGTTGGGACAGAAATTTTTTAGAGTGACAAGTACGGGCTAGAAGACATAGTTTGGGCAAGTCTCTCACTAAACGGGACTTATCCCACATTTTCCCACCGCTGCAACTCCTGTATAGCCAGGATCTACAGCTTGGCATTCAATGGACACTCGGTGGAACGACGATCTGGTCAAGGTCGCGAGAAGCACCTGGATGCGGGCAGCGTAAGATTGGTCATTGTGGAGCCTTTGTCCTGCATTACGTCATTTGGCATCATCATCATCATCATCATCATTTCAGCCTTAGGACGCCCTCTGCCGATCTTAGGCCTCCCCCAATGATTTACTTACTGACCGGTTGGTAGCGAACTGGATCCAGCGCCTTCCTGCTACCTTTATGTGGTCGTCGCGCGTCGGTCGGTACGTGGCTTCCACTCTAAAACCTTGCTGCCCTATCGGCGTACTATGTGCCCTGCCCATTGCCACTTCAGCTTGCTACTCCGTCGGGCTATGTCAGCGACTTTAGTTCGTTACGGATCTCCTCATTTCTGATTCGATCTGGTAAAGAAAAACCGAGCTCATTTGGTTCATTTGGCTTAAACATCCGTATTCACAAACGATGCTTGTTTAAGTGAAGCAGCAAATCGAACGCACAGCGTTTAATAGAGCTCTGTGATTGGTTTGTGTGACCCTGTGCGTCCACGTGCACTGTGAGACCTCATAGTATTGTTTGTGAATACGGGTGTTAGTTAATGTTAATATGTAGCGTTTAAACATCAACTTTTATTTTATACATTTAATGGATTTATACAAACTTTTGTAATCCCATTTTTATTTCAATCAATTTTATTTTTCCATTGTTCTTCCGCATCGTCTAACTAGGACAAATCGTAAGCACACAGCCTATACAGAATCACACGTCATCCAAATACGTCACGAACAGAAAAATCGCAGGTTGTTACGTCATAAATCAAGCGATTGTTGAACCGAACTCTGCGGGGCATGATTGATTGTGTTGGGTTCAACGCAAACTGGTGCAGCTGCGAATTGCAGATTTCTATAACGAAGCCTCGTGTGGAGGATCAACATCGTTTGGGAATAGTTTGCAAAAGTTAACGTGGGTAGATTTTTTGTAAAATGAAATATTATTAAATAAATAATTTTAAATTGAACCTACGATTACTCACATGTAACAAGAATCAGGCTTCAAGTTTGCAAAAGTTTAAGTATGTAGAGTTTTTAAAATCTATCTATACTAAAAAATATAAATGCGAAAGTAACTCTGTCTGTCCGTCTCGCTTTCACGCCTAAACTACTGAACCGATTTTGATGTTTGGCATAGAAATAGTTTGAGTCTCGGGAAAGGACAAAGGAGAGTTTTTATCACGGTTTTTGAAACAGGGACGCGCGCGATAACTTTTTTCTGTGAAAGACAAAATTCCACGTGGGCGAAGCCGCTTAATACAAAATTTGTTCTGCTCTCGTAAAAGATTAACCTATGTTACGAGAGTCAAAATCCACCTGAAATCATAAAACTGGCTAGGTACATAAATGATATCAATCAGTCACAAGTTATTGGTCATTGATGTGATAGGTACCTAGGTATTTGTTTCCAATCAAGTTAGAGTGACTCGTGACAGTTTAACATCCCCCTGGGATAACTCTGACCTTCACTGATTGGGTTTTGATTGATATTGATATAGATCCCTTTTACAGCAGTACTCATAAAACACGAGGTTGTATTAATTTGGTAACCTGACCTCATAGTTATTTCCAATTTTTAAAATTGATTTTTCAACCTGTTTTAGTAATAAACTAGCACGAAAGTCACTTTTACGTTTTCAGTTACGTAATCATGTTTCCCAATACGCTTAGGCTGAGTTGCACCACCTAATTTAAAAGGTAACTACTTATGGTGATAACCGGTGTTTTTTGTATTGAGTTTGAGAGATTTTTGACGTTTGTTAAAGTTAAAGTAAGATGGTGCAACCCAGCCTTAGAACTTTTATTTCAGGATGGTCTATCCATCATAGAAGACATAATTAGAGAAAAATACAATACACAATAGACGTTCTAACCACTACATAATACTAGTACTTATATGTATACGAGACTAGCGGCCGCCCGCGACTTGGTACGCGTGGATCCCGTTTTACCCCCTTAGAGGTGGAGTTTCGTAAAATCCGTTCTTAGTGAGTACCTACGTTCTAAAAGGAACCCCCATGCAAAATTTGAGACTCCTAGCACTTGTAGTTTCTGAGATTTCTAGATGAGTAAGTGAGTCAGTGACCTTTCGCTTTTATAAATAAAGATGTACTAACAGAAGTATGTAATGTACAATGCTGTTAGCTAATAAGTTTACCGACTACAAGAGATAGTAGGCCGGTCACATATTTGCCTAAAAAGCCAAGCAGATGCCACTGATAACCTAAATGTTCTACCACTACTTGGCAAAGTATTCCGACTGTATGCTAATACAAGCATTGGTTGTAAAATACCAGCCAAGGACGGGGCTTGTGATGTAATGTATTAGTGTAATCCTGATTCGTACCCAGTTTTATTGTAGTTTGTGCTGTAATGTCGCTGTAATTGTTTCTGTATTAGTTAAGGTATACAAGTGTAAATGTTAATGTATGTTTTCAATTCAATAAATTATTTGTATTATTTGTAAAAAAAAATTTTTTTTTCTATGTTATAATAAGTATGTATTTACAAAAAAAAGTATTTAAGTATGTAGTACCCATAGTACAAGCTTTGCTTAGTTTGGGACTAGAAGCGCAGTGTAAAAAAAATTCAAGGATAATGTTACCCTGATATACAGAATATTTTAGGGTTAATAAAAAATACTTTTTTATACAGACCCTTTTTTTATATATTAGAATTTGGAACTTATTGTCCCTTGGCAAAAGTTTTTGCATTTGAGCAGTAAAATCAATCCTTTTTGTTTAGTCAAGTACACAAATAACAGACTACAACGATGTGTTCGACTTAACCCATATACTCCTGAAACTTTTTATCCTTGTCAATTTTTATAAATTTTTAGTATGTTTCTAAATAGAGGTCAAGTATCCACAGAAAAATTTTAGAAAAATTATTGGTCAACTGGAAAAGCCGGAAAATGGGTGGTGTTTTAACACCTGGTCGGAGAATGGACTACTACTACGAGAAAAAATTATATTATGATATTGTTAGGTTTAAGAGTTAAAAACGAGTTGTAAGTTATACACATTTATTTAAAAAATACCAAAATCTTATTCAGAGGAGGTAGGAGGATGGTGGTGACATAAATCATAACCCAGGATACTTTAGTACGTGGCGCATTTTTTTACACCAAATTGATTTTTTCTTGCAAATTTTACATGTCAGTTGCATGTAGTACTCGTAAGTACAGTAGTACATACATACATAGGGATGTAAGCTCCGTAGACCCTGGTTGTGGCGCCATTCTTCATAAATATTGTTTCGAGTATAACTGCTTTGCCATGTATATTTTAGACATTTTGGGATAAACTTTAACAGAAGGTACTTGCACTATATTGCATTGTAGTAATAATTGTGATTGCGGTAGGTACTTTCATGGCAGAAGAACTAGCTGCATTGGAGGCATCATTAGATTCATTTCGTCTTACTTTAAAAAATTCAGAAAGCGGGATGTTATCCTCTTTGTCTGAAGAAGACTTGTCGTACTGTACTTCTGCCCCGGCTCTAAGTTGAGAACCTGGAAATTCACGAAAAATAGCAATAGAAAACTTACACGATATAAGTAACTGGATAAACGGAAGCAGTTAGATAAACGGAAGCAGGCTAACCTGGAAGATTTTGTAAGGTAACGTCTACTTCACCAGAATCTTCATCTGTTGCTCCTGCATTAGCATTTTCTGGTGGTAAAATTGCTANAATGTGCTAAAAGCGGTAAGAATAACGTAACCTTTTCTGCAATGATATTAAGGGAGTCCCAATTCTTCAAGTTTATCCTTCTAATAGATTAACGATGTCAATAACTGGGGTGTCCGACAATAACAGCACAGAAACCCGTTATTACTTCGGAAATATCTCTTCTGTAGTGTTGGGGGAAAGTTATCGATATCGATACTGCGGGGTTACTCCGAAAAACGTAGTGCAGTTACACTATGCGATTAACTGATCGAACAGAAGCGTTAGCACGCACACCCAGTACGAGCGACACACGTTGAAATTTACTGAAGTTGGTTTTGACACTACACGTCTCGATCAATTTCCCGCAAAGTGTAACTGCGCCATTATCCGAAGTTTCGAGTGATGCCATCAAAGCGTGATGCCAGCATGAGCGACAGTGACAGAATAAATTATGTAAATATCGTTTCAGAGTAGCCCTCGTGACCTTGGAATGTGATCGAAAAATATTTTTAGAACTATTGGGAAGACACTGATAGTATGAAATTGATAGTAAGTTTATTTATATTGGGCCGTGGTAATAAAGTACTAAATATTGTTGCGATGTTAAATACATTATTCAAACAGTTGATGTCTCAAATTGGCGGCGAGAAAAACTAGTACATAGTGCTCTAATATGATGTTATTTATTATTATGATATTGTTACGTAATAGACTCTATGACATTGAATAAAAGATATCGACGCTGATGGAAACAGGAACGCTAGTATTAAAACTGTATTTCACATGATAGAGCAACTACCTTTAAAAGGCAGTAACTAAAAGGAACCTCTTACTTACCTATCTTTATAGCTTCAATCTAAATGATAGTTTTGCTGGTCAGTTTCCAACAGATTCTATCAAGAGATTTACTTTTAAGAAGGTGTGAACTGATGAGATTATACTTTGATCTCTTTTCTCACAGCACATGATTCTTATTGAGTACAGATTATGATTTCAGATTTCATTTATCGATAAAGCAAAAACATCGACTCACGCCCATCTCTACTCCTTTCCTGAATTATTATTTGTACTTTTATGAGATATTTCCCTCGGGAAAGCTTGGGGGAGTTTCGGTATTGCATTAGCTATGTTTAGGTTAAGCGATGCTTGCCACGAGTTGGAGTAATTGACAGTATTGCTTATTGTTTTAGTAAAAATAAGTTTTTGTCTTGGATCCTTAGGCTGAATTTGCACCAACTTATTAACGGTAACTATAAAAATAACAGGTGCTTTTTGTATAAAACTTGACAGATTTGTGACGTTTGTTAGTTAAAGTAAGATGGTGCAACCCAGCTACAGTTGCTTTTAGGTAACACCGAGTATGGTTATCTATTCTTGTTTAGAGATAGGTATGATAATATTAAGTTGATTGGTGTTTTTAATCAATTTATTATTAAGTTAAAATCAATTTTGGTGTCAGTAACTGAAGACTTTTGTGAAATCTGCTTTGATTTGAATACCGTATTCCCGTGAAAATCCGCTTTTTCCAATAGCAATCTAGATTTGAGGAATACAGTAATGGAGGAAAACAGGACTGTCGTGTAAACACTCATGCGTGTTTGAAATTCCAATACCAAATTCGAACGGAACGGTTTTTTGCGGGACTGCAAACGGGATGATCGTGTGAAGTACTCGTAGTATTGTATTAAAACACGTATACTACTAAATGGGAAAAACTACTAAGAAACAGTTCCTGCAAAAAACGGGATGTCGCTGTGGATAGATTTTGTTCAGAATTAATCCAAAATTTCATTCCTAAACAGTACAATTGTCACTAAATCTAGTTTTGTAGATCAATTGAAAGCCCACATTGGATTTCGGCCTGAATTTGATAGTATTGTTTGATATTTGGACTGTCGGACTGGGCCGAATGTAAACAATAGCTAGTATTCGATAGCTTCCATTCAAACGAGCTTTAGAAAATGAGTTAATCAATTGTGTGCAATTCACCAATATCTGTCAATATTATACCTGTTACTTATGCACCAAATAGCGTGGGCAGGCCTCCTACTAGGTGGACCGACGATATGGTAAAGGTCGCGGGAGGTGCCTGTATGCGAGCGGCGTAGGACCGGTCTTTGTGGAAATCCTTGAGGGAAGCCTTTGTCCAGCAGTGTACGTCATTTGGCTGAAACGAACGATAGCAAATAGATCTTTTTAAATACTCATTACTCAGTCTACAGTCCTTCATCCTAAGTTGGCACGAAAATACGGTCATTCGTACGTAACATGACAAGCTCGAGCAGTTAAATCTTATTCTATGGGCACGGATTACTAATCCCTACTTAATTATGAACGCGAAAGTAACTCTATTTGTCTGTATGTCACGCTTTCACGCCTAAACTTAAAATTAAAATTTAGCATAGAGATAGTTTGAGTCCCGGGAAAGGACATAGGATAGTTTTTATTCCGGTTTCTGAAAGTCTCTGTGACAGATACTAATTTGGAAGATACCTTTGTTCAGTAGTGTAATGAATTTCGGCTGAAAAAAAATATTTCAGTTATATGTATGTATACTGTTTTATACAGGGTGGAAACGATAAGTGATCTCACTCGATTATTTCTAAACTATACAAGATATCGAAAAACTGGTTATTGATCCTGAAAGTGCTTCACAAGCTCTTTCAAATGGTATCAGAAATAGGTTGCAGAATTAACTGGATCTATCCGAAAATTCAATGTTTTCAGGCTCCATACTAAATGTATGCCAGCCACACAATATTAGAAGTGTTATTTTTTTTATTCAATAATAAAAACTTAAATTGAACTCCAAATTGCATTCTTATTAAAAATTATTCATGGAAAACATTGGTTTTAGGCTTTACTTGTTATAATATTATCAAGACATGAGTGCCATGACTGTGGCAGTACCTACTAAATGTATGGAAGCTGGAAACATTGAATTTTCGGATACACCAGGTTTATTTTGTAACCTATTTATTGGTACCGTTGGATAGAGCTTGTGAAGCACTTTCAGGATCAGTAACCAGTTTTTGGATATCTTGTATAGTTTTTAATATTATGTGGTTTTACTAAATGTATGGAAGCCGGAACCATTGAATTTTCGGATAGATCTAGTTTATTTGGTTACATATTATTGGTACCGTTAGATAGAGCTCGTAGAGCACTTTCAGAATCAGTAACCAGTTTTTTGATATCTTGAATAGTTTTGAAATAATCGAGTGAGATCACTTATCGTTTCCACCCTGTATATTTTAGGAACATTCAATGTGTTAGACCGATCCGTCGCGCTTTGCAGGTTTTGTATTTATAATAGTAGTTTTCTATTCGGCCTTACTTCAGTATTGTAGTTACAACAATATCGAATTCGAGTATTCATAGAATATGCGCTACGAGAAACATTTTAGTCCTGAAAACAATAGCACCAGTGAAAAGATTTATTTCAGAACAAATGTGATATCTGGAATTCACTGAAGCTGCAGAGAAATTTGAGGAACTAACTACTTTAAATTGTAAATATTCTACACTTTAACTACGATGTTGAAATATTATCGGATTTAGTTCCTTAATCACATCAAACTTATCTATTTTCTTTATATTTTATATTATTTCAATGTAGAATGTATATCTACAATTTTACACAGAAGTAGACGTCACGCATGAAAATTTAAAAAAAAAATTGTTTTAAAAAAAACAATATCACCGAATGTTTGTGTGTGATTTATTTTATTCACTAACCAAAAAATTCGGCGTTCTAAATCGACCTTAGGTACCTGCCACACGACAATACTCGTGAATTTAGACTTTAATCTCACGAACACTTATGAAAAATTCACATTTTTCACTAGAGAGAAGCAGTTGAAAAATTGCCTACCATTGTTAGATCTACATAGGTACAAATAAATCTAGATTTATAACAACGGTCTGATTGCGCCATTCATCAATCGTTCACAAAATACGTTCACTGCTGACATATCCATTCGATTGTTAGTTCATTCGTTCATTCATTCTTTCGTCAGAGTCGCCTACGCGTTCGAAAATATTTACGTAGGAACATTTCTTTTCGAAACGTATTTCTAGACGATTTATATCTAAGTTTGTTCAAGACTAACAAATGGTTATTATTAGATACTTTTGACTTATTGACCTTAGAATGTGGGTAGTATTATGAAAGAATTTGTTTTCATCACAGCGAGAAAGCTCTAGGCTTTCATATTATCTAATGGAAAGTTATTTTCCAACCGAAGGTGTAAGAAAGCTTCCCCTGGAATCCCTATCTACAAAGGGACTGGATGTCTACCTCTGACTGCTGAAACAAAACAATACTGTTGTCCAATGTTGGCTACCTTTTCCTATTTATATAAGGCCCTACACTACTCAACATCTTATTCATTCATTTTTTCACTTATTCTGAAGTCCGTATTACATAACAAGATAATTTTAGTTGGCGCCTGGATGCGGACGGCGCAGGACCGGTCTTTGTGGAAATCCTTGGGGGAGGCCTTTGTCCAGCAGTGCTTGGACGTCATTCGGCTGAAACGAACGAACGGACGATAAAATCTTGTCACAGGATAGATTCCTGTGATTTGTCAAGTTATTGAAGTTCATCCAATTAAAAGCCTCAATTGATACTTGAAATTGAATTGAGTTTTTAGCTTCTTCTTTATTATGCACCTAAAAGGACTCCGCCTCCGCCTGCCAAGCGCTGGGATTATGGTAAAAGCTTCCTCCAGGCTCATAGTCAAGCAGTAGACTGTAAAGGGCTGTTGTTGTTGATGATGATGATGATGATGATGATGAATGGACTCTACACACCAAGCCCAGCGGAGGCCCGGCGGCTCGGTGTCGGCGGCTTTATTTATAAGAATCATGTCGATACTTCATGTCGACAGCATCATGACTTTATTTGATGTAACATGTCAAAAGTCGACGACACATTCTGCTTAGCCGTACCAATACTACTTGTAAATCGTGATTCCTTCCTTCACAGGACAGGCAATGCCTAGTGTGGAGGTCTGTCTTTTGCTTTGTTTATACTACTTGATGTACCTAGCAATAAATATTTTCATATTTTTCACATGTGGGCGTGTCTGCGTTTGATGCTTGTTTAAATCAGTCGATAAAAGTATTTAACATCAACCATTGACCACATTTTTAATTCATCAGCAAGCTGACAATAGATTTATAACAGTGTATAAATCTGGATGTATTTCAGCGCGTGATTGCATCCATTCATCATTTGCGAACGCAATTCGCGCACTCGCTGACATACTGATCTGACCGCAAATTGTGTGAATCATTTTTGTGATTCCCCGAAATACAGATTGAAAACCGAAACCCTGCATGTTTTCGGGCAACTTGAGTGAGTTATTAAATTTTTGGCTAATGAAATCATGCGAATAACACGAAAAGCGACCGATTGGTTTATACATATTTGTGTAAATAAAGAGCGGAAATTAATGTTTTACACTGGAAATCTCATTAATTGAATAAAGCATAATAGACTGAGCTAAAATCTGTTTATTTTTTTTATGTATAACTAATATTTGGGTAATGGTTAGAAGTTATTTCCTCATCAGCCAGATAATTTTGACCGTTCCAACTCCTTGATAGACATTTTTTTCCAAATAGTGAGTTTTTCCAAGAGTAGGTAGGTTCCAAAGGCACGATGAGTGATGTGATGATTTTAATTTTCTATAGCATTGCTGACAAACTTTCAGATTTTATAAAATGACGTTATATAAGATATAGAAAAACTTGACTATCTCACCTGTAGAGAAAATTTAATAAGCTTTTTTGGTCCATAGTAGTTAAGTGATAGTGATGTCACTAGGACGTATAGTTTCCGAGGATTAAGCGAAAAACCGAGAAATGGTATCTTCAAACCCCCCTCTCCCCACCGGCTCAAGGGCTAAGGGCGGGGAATTTTGCTATGTTCACCTGCTAACTAGTCGTAAATAATGAACGCATTGAACTGATAAACTCTACTGTCTTTCTAGGTATTAC